TTGCTAAGTAGCAAAGTTATTTTAGCATCCGGCACTATTTTGTGTCCTACAGTCCTACATGGATAATGAAGAGGCCCAAATAAGCAACTTTCCTTCCACCAGTATTAGCTTGACTCAAATTGTCACAACAATACAATGAAAAGGACGAAGAAACTAATAAAAAAAATTTAGAGGCAATATTCTCACGGCGGCATTGCCACCCCATGCCACCCCTTGGCTACGGGACTATTTGGGAACAGCTTTTTCAAAGAAAATAAGGGGACCTATTATAGGGGGTCCTGAAGCCGCCAAACCGTGCAAAAAAATCAGCCAAAATCCGCAATCCGCAATGAAATAAAGCGCAAAGACGCGGCCGCGTTGCAAAACGTCTAGAAAAGCAAAAAGCCAATTACTTGCTAATAAGAAAAAGGATACATTGCTAGAAATCGCTGTTTCTCATGCTATCTCCATGGTATGAACACAAATCAAAGCTATTGTTTAGATTTCCTATCTCTCTTTTGTCCTAACTGACAGTGGCTTGTCCATTTTTACGTTACCCCTAGAGCGCTTTTCAACACCCTTCAGTATGGAATGGAGGGCCTGGCCGCAAGCCGTTATTGCAGCCAGAAGCCGCAACCGCATCATAAAAGCCGTAAACCGTCGCGAATATACACCGAAAGACGCAAGACGCATCTTTTGCTGAAGCCGCAATCCGTAGAAAAATCATACCCAAATCCGAAGGCCGCGCGTAAAAATTGGGTCCAGGCCGCGAAGCCGCAAACCTATAATAGGCCCCCAATAAGGATAAAAAAGGGATGAAAGCCAAACGCGTCAGATAATGATACGGTGTTCAATGTTTTTTTAACATATTTTGTTTGTGTCATTACATTTAACTTATTTTTTGTTTGTGCTATTGAGCCTAAAATATCATTAATTAGCCAGATGAACAATGAAATATAACATAAGCAGGGATGTAGTCGTAAAATTTTAACAAGGGGGGCTCTATGAAGTTTCTAAGTTGTTCTTGTCATGTAATCATTTAAATTATAACATGGTAAGGGTTGATATTTTTCCGAACATTGTTTAAGCAGCCAGGTACATTGACTGTGTTCAGCGTCAGCTGAGATGAGAGCATCAAATCTATGGGGAAGAGTGCAGGGGTGAGGAGAGGGGAGGGGGACTTTATTGCAAGTGAGAAGGCAAATGCTTTTTTTGCTCAGGGGTTCAGTGAAAGCCACCACCATAGTTGGCGGCGAGAAAAATTGTGAGATATGGCATTCCAAAAATGGCAAGAAATGCATCTAAAATATTTATGGTATCGATAAGGAAGAACTTTTTTTAATAATAATGACCCATTGGTTGATTTTTGAATTGAAACACTTCCTCTCGTGTTAACAAAACAGAGTTGATTTATCAGCTAATGAACTGTGCTAGTAAAATTTCATACAGGACTGTTATTCAGTGGACTTGGAAAGTATTCATAGTTTGCAGATATAGAAAAATCAATTTTGAAATAAAGACAACTTTAAGAACACCCAGAGCCTAAAATTATCGAAAGAATAAGAGTATGCAGTGCTCTTATTAAAAAGGGTGTAGCGCGTGAAATTTCAAAAGTAGACAAGACAGAGTCAAATAATAGCACCGTTTGTCGATTCAGGCATTTCTTAAAAACCAACTGTCTAAACAAAACTGCAACTAAACGTACTCAGTAAATAATCATTCAAGAAATTTCTATCTATTTATGTCAAACTTTCCGTACATTTTCATACATATAAAGCTTGCAATGCCTTTAAATCTTTCAGTTGTTTCTCTTTTCCTTTTCTGGTTTAGTTGTCAATGGCTGACCATTGGTGGAGTAACAATTCTTCACTTCTTCACAGCTCTCTTTGCATTATATGTGTAAAATTTGCTACTGATACATAATTGTAAAACTTCTGACACCATTCGTTGTATGAGCGACTGACCGAGCGAATAAACGACACGTTTTGACACACAATTTGACACACAAAATCAATTCCTTTTTTTCCATCCAAAGCTAAGACGTTCTTTTATACAATATTGAAACTTAGTTACTAAACAGCCTTCATCAAGCACTGTTACGGCATTAAATTATATATATATATGAAACGAAACCTCGAGTGCTTTCGCAAGCCGCTCGGGTTGAATGCCATCAGCCCTTTCATAGCCTTTCAATCCATGACCGTTCTATGTGTGTGTGCAAGTGAGTGTCTACAAGTTGGTAGCAGTGGCCTTTCGCAAGCACCACGCTTCTCTCTAACTAACTCTGTTTCTCCTTACTCTACTTTATACTAGAAATAGCTCTTGCTAGTACTGCCCGCAAACAATTAGTTCCTTGATAATGATTGTTTTGAAAATGTAGGTCAGGATATTCGAAGAAGACACAATCTTGGGTTTTCACAATTCTATAAAAACAGCTGCTCTAGTTGATGCTAAACTATTCTTTTTATCAAGAATTTTTGGTGTTCAGTTTGCCTTTGATTTAAGTCCAACGCCCTTTTGAAAATCATGAAGTTTTTCGAGGGTTTGACATTTATTTTTCGATAATCACGAAAATCATAACTTTTGCTCGTACGGTCCCGAGTTTTTGGGAGAAAAGTGTGGCATTCGACTGGTTTTGATTCCCAAAACTTCGAATCAAAACTTCAATCCATTGCGGAGAACAGAGCTGTGATGCAGCACCGTTTTCGTGCCAAAAAACCGAAGGCCTTTAACAGAGTCTTGGCAGAGCAACGCTCCGAAGATAATTCCCTTCCGCACAAAGAGGTGGCGGTTAACGACCTCCTCGACAAAGCCGATTGATTGACAATGAAATTGATTGACAGTTGTCATGGCAGCAGAAAAGTGACAAAATCTGCTGAAAAAGTGCTGACAACATGAACTGAAGCTTCCATATGCTACTTATACGCGGGGCAGACTATAAGCCCTTCACTCGCGCGCTATCGCGCGCGAGTTGCGGGCAATAACAGCATTACAATATAGCAAACTATCATCAATAATTGCCGGTGTTATTGTCGGTATCTATCGTGCAATACGTAAATGAACTAGTAGGAGGTGTTAGATATATTAGGATACGCGGGGGAACTTTATAGGGTAAAAGGGCATGTGAAATGTTACGTTACCGGAAAACATGAAAAACTAACACGCGACAAACTAATATATCCTAAACAAAGAGAAGCATGAACAATTATAAGCATAAACGCAAGACTGACCTAAAATGAAATAAGTACCTATATTACATATGATTCTTGGCTGTATCCATGCACAAACAATGAGGGGGGGCTGAGTCCCCCACTTTTTTCTAAAATTTGAACAAGGGGGGTGCGCCCTCTGAGCACCCCAACCGCTACCTCCCTGAACAAGTCGAGAAACTACTTTCAGGGTAAAAATATCCTGTGTTCCAGACCTCTAGACCATCGCATTTTATGTCTTGAATTTCTACCCGCTACTGAAAGTTTGTGATACCAAAATCTCATGTTCGTGTAAAGCTCTTCAAATTTCTCTTGGTCTTGTTAACATCAACAATAGAATTCTCTATTTTAAATCCAAATGGATTTAATAATAAGACAAAAGCTCTTAATGAAATATTCAAATCTATAGCAAAGACTGTTCTGACTGATCTAACCTCCTAAATCGGCACCCTTTCATTTTCTTTTCGGTAATTATAAATTGGCTTTGATCCAAAAGCTTTTGTTTACATTTGCACCCCCGTCGCTGATTATGATTTATGAAGATTCAGTTTCAAGAGCTTCCATCATGTACTGGGTACCTTGCAAATACCATTAATGTCATATTTCTGAAGAACTTGTCTGACTAGAGAGGATAGCCTTAATTTTGATTTGATTTCAACTGCAATTTGTATCCACAGGACTAAATTTTTTAAACTGCAGCAGCTTATTTTGTCTCAAGACCTATGTTGTAGTGATTTGGAAGTTTCCATTGGAATTAAACTGTTTACTTATGAAAAATCATTTTTCGGAAAAATCTTATACCTACTTGCCTAAAGCTAAATTACTTACTGTATACCTCTGATTAAATGAGAAATGAAATGAAAAATGAGGCAATTCAACAAGATCTTTTTAATTTTTACCTTGTAAAGCAATCTATAAAAAGTCATTCTAGATTCGTACATATCCCTGCATGACATAGCAAATGTTGTCCTGCAGATCGACACAAATTAATTTTTCCTTGAAAATAATCTTTGAATTTATAGTTTCTTACGGTTAAACAACAAAATGAACTATTTTTAAAGAGCAGGGGCGGATTTAAGCGGCAAGGATTGAAGGTTAGATCACAATTGGATTTTGGTGCCACACCCTTCAGGTGACTGGAGATAGATGAACACGCCCATAGTAAAAATTCAGATTTTAACTTAAAAGAAAAGAAGATAAGAAGATAGATGAAGTATATTTTTGCATCATTTTGTTGCTACTGAATACCATAAAATGCATTTTACCGAATCAAAGCAAAATTTACCGACGGACACCAAATAATTAGAGGAGATGTTGCACACCCTACACCCCCCGTTAAATCCGACCCTCCCTACTAAAGACTTTTCCAAATAACACATTGGTGCGTTTTATGTGGAACAACCCCGAGAGTCATGACATGTACAAGTAATACATCAAGAACAGTTTCAGCGAGGGGACACTTGTATCGGAATGTGAACATATTACCACTGCTTTACTGTCGTATTCTTGCGCAAATCTTACGGAGAATCAAATATTCACTGTTGTTGTGTTTAAGCTGGTTTCAAACAAGTGTCTTCCGCCATTTTGACATCTTAATAAGTAGTTTTCTATCATTGAAGTTAGGAAATCAGTGACTGGATACCATGTAAACACCGATGGTGAAGGTGAAACATTGTCAACCAATTCATATGAACTGCAGTGTTATTGTGATCTAATGCTGAGAGTCCTAAAGCCGCGTGGATAAAAAGGAAACACAAATCCTGCTGAGCTACTACACTGATTTTAGTGGTAGGTTCCTTTTGTATAACATTGTTAACGTAGTCCTCCCACTGTCATCCAGATCGCGCGCTAAAATTTGAAGGTCTTTGAGATGATCATGTTTATTTTTAACAACATGCTATGAAAATCTGCTTTTTGAAATCAAAATTTTATTAGTTTTGACATATCTGTCACGTTCGGATCTTGTTAGGGATGAAATTATTCAGCTAAGATGCCGAATAATTTTGCAGACAGATTAGTAAAATGGTGGCTTTAGTAAAGCCTTTTATGTACATCTGCCATCAATTAGATTTACTGACTTCTCATAAATAATTATTTCCAACTTTCTACGTTCTACTGCTTGATTTTAAATCAAGTTGAAAGGCGATCAGAAATTATCAAATCTATTCATCGCCTTCTGATTCCCAAACTCACAAGTTGCAATAAACTATTTCATCACTTCATAATTTTGCCTGAAGCGAAAATTTATGTAACAATGAAAACATCATGCGTATTTAAAAGGCAGCTTCAACATTATTCTTGTTTCGATTGTTTGTATTGGGCAAAGCTATTTTATATTTTTTTCTCAATTTTTGCACTATTGTTTTCGTGTCGTGGGGCTTACGTGTTTGCATGGCGGAACAACAAACGGTTTTTTAAGATGTGAGAAGAATTTGCCTTAGACCAAAGACCATGGACCTAGGACCAAGTGTAACTTTAGTGTTGCTTAGTTATTCAAATATATTGAAAATTAATAGAATTTTAAAGATCAATGTATATTATAAAACGAGTAGGATTATTTTACGCAACTAGGGTCCAAGTAGATTTAGCAGTGCTTTGACAGACGTGATTTATTTCATTCAATTCATTATTAATAAATTTTTGATTTTCTGTTAAGATTCCAGATAAAATATCATCTTCTTCTGGTCTTTAAGAACTATATATATGTAAATCAATTTTTTATACCTTAACATTTCTTTTTTTGAAAGGCAGCAAAGTAGAATTTGTTCAAGCCGCGATGTTTCAAATATTTTGCTTTGTTATATTATAACATTTAAAATCATCAAGTAGAATGTTTAACATCATAAAATAATCAAATGATCATTAACATTTACTAGTTTTAGAATCCATAAAATTCTTGCTCCTCATCCGTTTCAACATTCGCAGGGATGTGCCCTCCAATTAAGAGAATGCAAGGTACAACCCTTCCTTTTGGGAGTAAAAATGCTTTTGGCAGATATTTTTCTTTGGTGGCTGGATAATTTTGAAGTTTTTATTAGATTTTTGGTAAAAGTGCAATTATTCAAATTAAGAGAACAGGTGCTCCAAATATTATGTAATATTTTGTCTATAAGATGACAAAGACATTTTTGAGGCCTCAAAAATGAATTAATAGGACATTCAATGTTACCATATATGAGACGCATCCTCAAACAAACCCAATGATAATTCAAAAAAGGTTCGTCGCATACACAACAAAATACAGTAGATAGTTCGTTACAGTGGTGATACTAATTCAGTTTTTAAAAATAAATTAGATATTTGAATTTTAACAGATTTCTTTATAATATTTAGAAACAGGCATGAATTTCTCTAAAAAAACTATAAAAGGAAGGTCCCCCTAGGTTGTGTTTAAATGGTAATTGCATTGTTTTGAATTTAACACATAAGAATGGTAACAGTCAAAATGCAAATAGCAATCAGCAAATAGAAGAATTTGCGATTCAATTTATCTTTGTTTTTCTTTTTCTGCTTTGATATCTTCTTTTTCTCTGCAGTTAATTTTAAAATGTGTTCTGTAGACAGTTATTAGTGTTGAAGAGAGTACTGAAATAGGAAATGCTTTTATCTAATCATTGGGTCATTTTTAGTGTTTTATTAACTTTTGTATTAGCTATTCTTTATTTTTTCTCTTCTCCATTTTTTATGCTGCTATGCTAAGATTATTCTAAATATTGCAAGGCCCTTCCTTTTTTGTGTTGACCTTTAAACAGACAAAATTATGGAACCTAGTTATAAAAAACCTTAAGAATATTGCCTTGGATTTTCTCCCATTAAAATCTATTTGAGGCAGTCTGTTTCATAAGCAAAATGCCATGTGCGCCACAAACCACACACCTACCTGAATCCATTTGTGTGATGCACACTTCTAACAATAATGCCATTTTCAACCTTGTTTAAGCTATCCTGGCCAAACCTTTTGGATCTTAATAATCATGCGTTAATAGTGACTAATTAGTGGCTCTTGTTTTCCTGCGTTTTTCAATGTATATTTCAACACTGCGCTGAATTATCTCTTCTCTCTCTTCAACTGAACAATTTTTGTTGTTTATACTAATACTCAGAAGCATCTCCATACGAATACTTCCCATTCTTAGCCTCCTATCTGAGACACAAGGCATAGAGTGCTGAATGCCCTTTCTACAGTAGAGTTGGAACCGCTGATTGAAATTATTATTTCAGCACTTAAGCATACATTTGGATATTCGTTCACATATCGTGTGCCCTATAATCTCTGTTTTTCCATAAGACATGAACGTTTTCAGTTCAATCTTATTTCTTTTCGAATTCACCACGTGAAGAAAAGACGGCTCTTACTCACAAAAACAGAAATGGTCTTTAAGAAAAAGTGAATGAACTGTACACACATGAACGAGAGGCTGGCAACGACCACACATGAATGGTGTGCAAAAGAACGGAAACAAGGTCACATACCCGTCACCATTTATCAAAACTGTCAACATTGGCAGAAATATTATTGCCTAATAAGATTACATACCATTAAGATAAAACACTACCCACATTGTCAAATTCATCATGCAGCACAAATAGTAACAGAAAATTGTTTCATGTGTGCAGTTTATCGCACTCATTATTAACTCCATGGGTGTGTGGGTGCGTGCGCATGCAATCGCAAGGAATAATAATAGGCCTGCCTATTACATCTCTAACTTAGCCTGGTAAGTATGTGATCTGAATTTCATTATGATCAGCCAGTGGCCCCTGAAGAAAACCCACATGTTTTTCTGGCCCGGCACTCAAAATACTTAATAACCCCTGATATTTGTATAGTTTAAATACTTTTTATATGTTAAAATGCTTTTTTTTGCAATACATTTTTTTGGATTTTGGGGTATTTTATTTCAAAGCATCAGAGTTCTGAGATATTTAGTTCAAGGTATTTGAATTAGTTATATAGAATATTTTTTTGGTTTATAAACCCTTGAACACCAAGTGCAAAATTTTTGAAGTTTATATGCAGTAACACAATATGCCTTGCTTGTGTATCTAGTAGATCCGAAAGCAATTCTGTTAATGTTTAGTCATTGTTGATATATATTTGCTGTTCTGCAGTCCATTTTCTGTTAATTTGTAATGTGCTTAGTGTTCAAGCAATGTAGCCTTTTCTCTGTGTGACACTTATTAGCTGAAAAAGCTATATACTGGTGATAATCAAAGATAAAAGCTATGTTGAATTGTTTAAAGAAAATATTCATGTTTTTGTTTGTTTCTGAAAATGGCTGTGACCAAGATAATAGTAGAAAATGAATAATTATGATGCATTTATTAATTTTTAGTGATGTAAATATATATTTACCTATCTTTTGTTCAATAGAAGTTGCACATTAATTCATGAATTGAATCTCTGAGCCAGATGTAGTATTTAGGGGACCAGATAATTTATTTGTTATACAACAAGGTTAACTCATTGGGGGTTTGTTAATTTGTGATTCAGCTGCAAATATGCATTGATATGTTTGGCTTGATATTTTTACATTAAATAGAATCATGTTAATTTACATTAAAAAGCCAGTATAGATAACAATTTGTGAGACATTATCTCTAAGTTTGGCAACGTTGCACTGCATCTTATTACTATGTTTAAATGCATAGTTTTCTAACCTTTTTTAGTTGTGTTTACATTCTGTTTCTTGTCCATTAGTGTCAGTTAAGCTCCACCTTTTTTAAGGACATTGAGAAAAATTTTACTTACTTACTAACTAACTTACTAACTTACTTACTTACTTATTTACTTGTCTTCTGATATCATTTTTTCATCAAACTACTTAACGACTTGTGTACAAGAGTTAAGGGGAAAATATGGTTAATGTTTAGTTAACAAGATTGATACTAACATGGACTTATTCTCCATCAATAGAATTCCGAAGTGATGATGACAAAAAATATATTTTAAGAATTTTTCAATTTTGACCATCTAGCCCAAAAAACCTTTATGAGATACTTTTAGATCTGCAGTATCAACTGAATGTGTTCTACAAATTGGCAGAGATATTGTCACATTAGCACAAGTTCTTTTCCCATCAAATCACTGTAATTTGGTTTTGGTCCATAACTTTATGAACCAGGCCAGAATAACAGTAATCCTTGAACAAACCTGAAATCTTTCGGTGGCTATATCACACCCAGTTTCGAGCATAATTAACCGATTCCGTGTACAGAGTGCTTTTCACCATGTTCTTTCAGATTATGTAGTAAAAATTGAAAAGATTCTAAAATAGATTTTTGATGACGTCACATTTCGGTACTCTATTGATGTAAATTTGGACGCAATAGACGAAAAACGTTTGCCATTTTTTTAATTCATGTGACCTTGTTTTTTTGTATTCCCCCTCGACAGGCTCGAGCTGTGGCATTCTGCTGGGTCATTTTGAATTCCTCTGTTGTCTGTTTGTCATGATTTGTCACTATGTAAAGGTACAAGGCGATAGGCAGGATAATCTTACATCCAATAACCTTTAGTCAACATGAGGCTGGAGGAACCAATGACAAATGATTGTACGCCTTTTCGATGTCTTCTGATATCAGTTTTTCTATCAAATGACTTAACGACTGGTGTACCAGAGTTATGGGGATTATGTAAGAAAAGCGGTCTTTGTTGGTAATATTGGATATTAGAGTTGAAGAAAGAATCGCTTAACAAGAATTTTATCTTAATAGAATAAGATTGGATAATTCCAAGGAGTATGACCCAGCGAATTTCGACTTGACAAATACAGACAAGAATTATGCTTGCAACCAAAGGAAGTCTTCGTTTGATTGTGTATCTGTGGATATGTATCTTTGAATACTTTTAGATATTTTCAGTTTGTGTTGTCTCTAAACAAGAATGGAGGCGACGTAGCCGGCTCAAAGCACGAGACATTCTACAAACAGCATTTTACTTGAGTTTTGTTATCGCATACCACTCAGTCTTATTTGCTGTTTTCGTTTGAAATGGGCGGTCCTCTTTTTGGCCTTCGCCTTTGGATGTGGGTAAGGAAAAAGCTTATGGAAAGTTTTGTCATTGCTTGAATTATAATAGTTTTTTTAAATTTTGATTGTTCAGTGACAAGTAATACCTATGGGTTGTTGTTCGTGTTGATGGGTATTTTGCTGGTTTCACTAAGTTTATCTTCGTTTTTGCGGTCATTTCCTGCGAAACACTACCTCTCCATGCTTGCTAAGTTAGCTGAATGGTTGGGACTTCGGCGATAACACTAAAGTCATGACGAAATGAAACAAAAGTCCTTTGATTTTGATTCGGCATTTCTTAGCTTTTAGTATACATCAAACCAAGTTGTTTGAATATGTTACCACCGTTGGGTGTGGTTACCGAGGGGTTTTTTACCCTCGAATAATTTGCAACTGGATTCTTCTATGTTGTATTGTCTCTGAAGAATCCAGTTTGGTGTTTGATGTGGTCATATCACCGTCGTCCACAATCATTTTATCACTGCATCGGTTACGTACCTAACCCATTTTTTTTTGGTTGAAGCCTGTTTTTCACATCTTTGTATACTGATCATCGACACGTTATTCTCCAGCGATACACGTTGAAAGCCGAGAAACAGAGCCACCCATCATTTATTTCTTTTTATTTATAAGTCAGCTCAAGGAATGGCTCGATCGGACCATATGAATAAGGGTTACTTAGCAGCCAAGGTGGAGAAGTGCTCCATAGCCCTTATGACTGCCGATAACCCTTTAATGTACCCAGTCACTCCTCCACTTCGTAGGTCACTTCCACTTAAGCCTACCTAGTGTCTTTGAATTTCATTAAGCAAAATTGAATCTATTTAATTCACCGAAAACGTGTGGACAATGGTCGACTGTACCATTTAATGTTTCATTTTAATTACAAGAAATTAGATTGAAAATGGAAATAATGACAAGAAATTAAAAAGTTTAATGAAGTAAAAAGTCAAAGTACCAAAGCGGAAGCAAATGGATAGAATTATAGATTTCTTTTTTACCTCCAACACAAGGAAGTTTTTCAAGTTTAAGTAAGAGTCTCCCAGATATGTTATTAGGCGGTTTTCACCAAATGAGTTTACTGAAAAAACTAGAGTATCCAAGTTGGTTGAATTATCGTTCATTTAATCCTTTGCAGTCTCTTTCTTCAAGGGGAAGCATGACCTGGTCATGTTGTCTTTAAATATCACTAAGTAACAATGCTATATCAAAACTATCTATAATTACTGTTTCTTATGCTTGCAAGTAAATTAATTTTTACATTCTTGATTTATGAATTAATTATAATGTAGGAGGAGCAATGACTGAAAATCTTAACGTACAAAAAGAAATATATTTTGAGCTGATAACATTCTCAAGTTCCCCATCAAACTCCTCTGTATTAGTTTCTGATGAAATGAAACTTTTCTCTTTTAGGAGGCCGAGATTGATATCTTCTTGCAAGTTTTGTGTGAGTCGTGATTTTTCTTTCATTTCCTTTACTTCAATAAAGCAACTTTAACAAGGAGCCTTGTTGTTGCTTTAATTTAAGATACATCCCCTGCGTGTGTGTCAGCTACGGCTGTACACAAAGATTTGACCAAAACTTCAAGTCCTGTTTCCTGTCTACTGTTAGTGAAAGAATAAGTTGAAGGCAAATGTAATTGGTCAATACGACCTATCAGTCAACGAACTACCAATCAATTAGAGAGTTGCAACTTGGCCTATTGAAACCTTCACTTCCTTCAAGTCCAGATATAATTATGTCGATTCCACACAATCGATCTGTGTCCAGATTATTTCCTTATATGGATGTAACTCTTGCAATTCAATAGATTAGCATTAGCCACTTTTGTGTCTTTTGTCATATTATTCAGTGAGGCAAAATCTTCTGAAGGTAACTTTTAATAACCCGGCCCTCTCGTGACCTAGGTAGTTGTTAAGATAAACCAAATTCTATACTGGAATTTTCGTTTCTCCTTTCTCAAATACAGTTTGCCTTGTTTCTTCAGATTTTTGTCTCCCTGGCCTCCGATCGTGGTTTACTTATATTAACTTTTAACTTTTCCATAAAATTGTTTTCTTCCATTGCTACGTTTTCAAAGTGTTCTGAAATTAAGGGATTTCTGGCTACATGTTGTTATTCAAAACGCTTATATTTTCTCTTCAAGCTTCTTACTTCCTTTCAGTTTCTCATCACGGGCAATTCACTTCCCTGCCATTTTCTATTCCCTCATTTTGCTTTCCTTTCTTATCTTTGCCTTTCTTTTATCGTTTCTTTCATGATACCTTTCATCGTACCTCTCATCATACCTTTTATCGTGCCTTTCATCGTACCTCTCATTGTACCTTCCATCGTACCTTTTATCGTACCTCTCATTGTACCTTTCATCGTACCTTTCATCATACCTTTCATCGTACCTCTCATTGTACCTTTCATCGTACCTTTCATCGTACCTCTCATTGTATCTTTCATCGTACCTCTCATTGTACCTTCCATCGTACCTTTTATCGTACCTCTCATTGTACCTTTCATCGTACCTTTCATCGTATCTCTTATTGTACCTTTCATCGTACCTTTTATCGTACCTCTCATTGTACCTTTCATCGTACCTTTCATCGTACCTTTCATCGTACCTTTCATCGTACCTTTCATCGTATCTCTCATCGTACCTTTCATCGTACCTTTCACCGTACCTTTTATCGTACCTTTCATTAAATGCCATGCTTCTTATCCCTGGAATTTTTATCTTTTCACTAGCTTTTATCTTTTCTCTTACTTTCTTTTCATCTAGGTCATTTTTCCTTCTCTCGTACCCCTTGCCAATCCCCCTACTGCTTCAACCCATATATTTTCAAACGTTATATTATCTGGATCAAGAATCTCCCTGCATCGTAATGACTTGTCCGTCTTTAAAATCTTTCCTTACAACTTTTGAAGCAGTATACCTCAACAGTTTACCAATATTTCTTTCCCCGCTTTACACCAGAAGGTCATATACTCTAATTGTTTAAATTCAGGCAATCGAAATAAATTTTTCTTAGACACCTCCTCCCTCCTTTTTATTTCCTCCTCCTCTCTCTACTTCGTTTTTTCCATTTCCTTCCCCCTTTTCATAAATGATGCACTCTATCCGTGAAAGAGACCCTTCATTCAGATTCTTAAGCAATACAACTCCACAACTTGGACAATGCACGCTTGTCCATGGTAAATCTTTATGAATGCGCGCATGGTAACGGCTATAATAATGTGCCTTGCAACCGCATATGACACAATTTATTGGCAAGCACTAGAGTCCTGACAACTCTTAGACTATTTAGCGAATCTTCTTGAAATCTTCTATAGATTATATTACTCTGTCATTAATGCCAATTCTATAGGTCGTTATTTCTTTGAGAAAATTGAATTTTGGTCTCATTTATTGAATAGTGGTACCGAATGTATTGAGTCGCAACTCCAAGCAGTTTTAATCATTTATGTTTACTTACAGGTCGTTCCATTGATGCTGTTATAATGAATCAGATTTGATCAAAAGACGATTTGGCGTTTGCGGTTTTTAAACTAAACTTTCGGTAAGTGATTCTTTAATGATTTTGAAATTGCTTAGCGGGTCACACAACGTGTTACTCTTTATTTCTGATGTGACGTGTTTAAACTTACAGGCTGCTTTCACGGGGGTGTACGGGCTCGCGTTTCGATATCTGAGGTAAGTTGTATTAATGGACCCGTTTCCTGTGACTCTCTATCCCATGCAAGACCTTATAGCATCACTGTCGTGTGTATTCGACGGGTGTGGCTTAGTCAATACCACGATGATACAATGACGGCAGTGAATACACTTACTATAATGTAGAAAACAGTGATCTAAAAATCGAGTCAACACATCTATTCCTGTCACTGATGAACGTTCTGCGTCAGTAAAGTCAGTTTCATATTTCGCAAGCAGCAAATCGGCGCTGAGAGCATTTTTGTTGAATATTGATGTTTCTGGCTCGTCAACCTAAGATCCCTTTTGTGCCCCGTAAGGAGGGCCATAAAAAGTGGTAAGTCTTGTTGCACTGTTTCAGTTGAGAATGAAATACCTTAAAGACACTCACCGCAGCCTTTATTTTCTCTTTAGCAGAATTATGGTCCAGATGTAAAGCTAGAAAGCACTTTCAAAGTTCTTGATCTGTACATCGTTTATGCCTCGCCAATAGTAACACATTTGACCTGTTTTTTAGGTTTAAGAGCTCTTGCTTTAATTTATTTGCAGTTTAGGTGTGTGTGAGAAGGAATAAGAAATTTGATCAAAGATTGTTCACTAATGAATTTATGTACTATCTATAAAAGTATTTTTGCAAAAAAGCTCTAAATTCTTAAAAGGAATACGGGTGAAGCTCACGCTGCTGTGAGACAAAGATATTGTTTATGAATTTTTAGGTTAGTAGCATTTTGGGTTTTTTACGCTTAAGCTGCAAGACATGTGCACCATGAAATAGGCCTAAAGATACAAGGAATGGAAGGACTGAAATTTCATAAACCCTAGATAACATAAAAGAAATGTGTGTTTTTACAACTGTAATGGGGCACATTGTTGTTAGAATCGACAGGTTGGCAGGTCTACCATCTTCGTTTGCTAGGCCCTGGATGTCTTTCACGGTATTTTCACAATGAATATAGAGTATTAAATCGGGTTTTGGCGTGAGGCATTGTGTTAGTTATCTCTTGAACACCGCTGTGACTCATACAAGCGGTAGATCAAAAGATGTTGTGTAAATCTGCTCTTAGGTTAGTTTGTATCGAAGACAAAACCCCATATCCGCGCAAAAGAATTTTCAAAGAATCTTCCGTCTTATCAAGCGACCTTAACTCTTGCTTTCTGCTATGTATAAGTCCGTAGATCAACGCTTATTTTATTTAGAAAACATTGATAACTGGACAATTGTTAATGTACAAAAACCAACTTAAAGATTCTGTTATGAGCGCATCGCCATTGTTGTGTATTGTCTTAAGGTAACCGCGTGTTCTGGGGCGAAACAGTTTTCAGTTAAATGACTTGCAAGACTAAGTATCGAGATGTTCAAATTGGAAAACACAAGGGCATTGTGGGCTGCTTTACCTTGAAATATTCTTCAGCTGATATGTTCAATTCAGTTTGGGTAGGTGATCCGTTAACTGCATAAATCTACTTCCATTTAAGTGTTGCTTTGAAGCCAATTTGACTTAAAATCCATATTTTCTAGCTACTTTATTGTTTAGTGTTTTTTGTGTTTTTTAATTATTAACGGAGGTTCCCAACATATGTTTTGTAATGTTTTGATACGCTGTACGGAGTTCTGCTCATGATGGAATTACCCTTTGAAAATTAATAAAATCACCTTCCAGGTAGGATTGCATGAGAACCTTAATCTTCTTGATTTTTCATTTATGCTGTTGACTGGAAAATCCAGCATTTGTCTCCCATCTTGTATTTGCTTATAGAATGCAATGTGTTTTCAAGTCCTCGCGGTTTTTGCTTTGCCCAAGCTTCATAGCTCTAAACCATTCTGTTTCCAGAAAATATATTTTTATTCATGCAGCTTTCACCTCTATCCAACGCCCCTTTTTATTATTTCAAAATATCTCTTATGGCTCAACTCATAACGTGGTTGACTTCCACAGTGTCACCAACTTGCATCTCTTACTCCACAGTGTCTTCAATTGAAAAATACGGTAATATGATAGAATTCTACTTTTCTAAGCACGTTTGACTCCATTTTGTTTCATTGGAATTTTTTTGCTTCAGTGAGGCTTTCATAAAGATTCCCTTCTTTGAAAATCCGTTTATTTATAAAACGAGTTGTTTAAAGCCTTCTGCATATTTATAAGCATTTCTTCATCGGACTTCTTATTCTTAGTTGATCCTTCATAGCAAACCAATTGCTCTCCAAAAATTTCAACTTTCCAGTTTTTACAACCAGTTTACTCAGATATGACTTATGAAAAGAATTTTAGCTGTAGGCATTCCTTTCCACCCAGTGAAATTCATTCGCTTCATGATTTTGCGAGAATGGCTGGGAAAGAGCTTTTAGTTTCAGAATTTATGATTTATTTACCATAAGCATTAGCTTGAAGTGATGACAGTTGCAAGGCGTTGCTAGATCGAGGGCCTCTAAATCATCCATTCATATGATCGCAGTTTTCTTTTGTCTTATTGTTGACATGAATGTGTGCTTCATGAATGATAATCCTTCGATCTGTGGCTTAAAGGAAATTGCCTTGCAAGACCAATTCTACGCAGATAAAACTAAGAATATGGCTAGATTTGTTTTGAATTTTGCTGTCAAAGCAGAAGTTCTTTGTTAATTCTCCAGTTAGGCCTGGTTGTTTGCGGAGAACAACAGTTAAAAGAATCTTGATCGATGAAAGACATCCTTTATTTGAAAATATAATCGACTGAATTTATTAACTTAAGTACAATTGCGTTTCAAACAAAAGAACGATCAAAGATTCGAAGCAAATTAAAACAAGTTTGACAGAAAGCGAAAACATGCGATCAATTATTGTTAAACGTCTTCAGATGTCTTTTGATGTCCTTTCTTAAGAGTTTTCTTCGTCACTCAAAACAGCCTTTCTGATCTTTCGGTGCAGCCTCATGCGTCTGTTAGCAAGCAGAAATTCAGGAGCTGTCGATTCTTCATTGTTGGCAAGGTTCGCTTTATTTTCTCTATCCATTCTTTTCATTCTTATTCTCTATATGCTTTGTTAATATTATTCATAAACCATCAGCTCAATTAGTGGCGTGTACAAACAGAAGATTAACGGTACTTCGAACGGATCTCGGGCGAGCTCCCTCTTAGCCCTGCTAAGCACCCCATGCGCCCGTTCTTAGTACACCTAACGCTTTCTTTGTCTCTATAGTGTTTTGCTTCTTTTGGCAGTATTAGAATCTGAACCATGATGTGTCGTGTCAGCGTAAAAGAACGAATAGCCTGGCTTTTTATCGTAATAAACATTTCAAAGCGTTGAATTCTGTCAAATAAGAGTGGATATCATATCAAAAGACAAAACCACGATGAATAAACTATAATATTTCAAACTCCAAAAATGTTTGTTATAATTTGGCTTATGTAGATTTATCAGCAAGAAACTTTGTACAAAATGAAGAACTCATTCTTGGAGGCACATTTGATAGGTTACTATTGCATTTGCCATGAAAAGTATCCCCACCGTTTCACCGAAGTAAAAGGTGTAATTCTATAGATAGGCTTAACTATGCCATGTTAATGTTTGACTGAAAACAATTGTATGCCAACCTGGCAATAGGTTGAAATGCGCCATGCGAATGTGTGTAGATGCCTAAATGTGACGAGATGTGTGAAACAAATGTTTCGGATTGTTCAAATATTTTTATTGAAATATTTCATGCAAATGTGTGTCAGTGCTAAAATAGCTTCAAATGTGCCATGCCAATGTGTGCAAATGCTTGAAAGCGTTCAGATGTGCCTTGCAAATGTTCAAATTGGTTCATTTTTCAAGCTGCTGAAAAAACACTTGTCGCGAGGAAATTAATATTCAACGGACGTGACTGACAATCCCAAGAAGCAGAAACTAAAAGACGATCTGATTGAACTACAGAATCTGAAACTCTCGATTTATCGAAATTGATGTTGTTGAATCTGAATTTATGAACATCATACTTCGTATGTACAAACCTGTATGTATTTAGGCATTAGGCTAGAAAATCTTTTATCAAAAGCAACGAAACTTGAACAGGGAGAAAGAAGTTCAGCAATACCTTGAAACATGCTCATCATGTTTGAATTCCCAGATATTTCGGCGTAGGAGTATGTTTCAAAATTATTGAGACACTAACTATAAAGGAGAATTTTATGTTATAAGAAAGTTGCAAGGTACTGTATTATATTTTTGGACCGGCTGCTGCAACGTTGTTATTGATGAAGAATTCAAGGACGTTTGGTGGAAAGATGCAACTACCAAAAGACCAGAATTCTGTCTGCTTGTTTCTTTCCAAACCATTTCTGTAATTTGTAGGAAGTGCAGCTGATAGTTGCCTGTTGTCATTTTTTGCTGACAAATTTGTACAAAACTGTTAACTTACTCGCTTTGTGATCTATGAGCCATCGAGGGCAGTAACTTGTACCGGAGGAGATTATCACAATTTCTAGCAAGAAGATCATTTTTGACATAGAGTTGATTTTCCCTTCAATGCTTGGCGAGAATCGGCTTCTTTTGGTGACGCAATTATGATAATTTCATATTTATGAATTATCTTGATTTTTAGTTAGTTTTTCGCTTTGGCTAATATTATGCTACAGATGTTCTCGTTTTTGACTTAAAGGAATGATCGGTATGGAAAATTCTCCCCTGTCAGATGTCTTCTTGCTGTAAATATACCGTTCATCGCATCAAGGCTAACTGAATTTATTCCCAGAAGCAGCGGTATGCAGCCACGGTTTATTGACATCGCTAGTGTTAATTAGCAAACACGTGCTTGGTATTTCTAACTATGCTGAATAATTTACTTGTTCTGAAGGCTGTTGTCTTTCATTTCGCTACCTAATGAGGAAAAATTGTTTAAGAACTGTTGACGGAAGTGCATGTTGCACCGAATCTTTTCATACTCAGTTCATTTAATTCATCAGCATAATTCATGCTTGGGGTACGTGATTATCAGATCGCTATAAAGTTGATTGAATAGACGTATTATAATTCTTTATGACATAAACGTATTAAAGGATTTGTTCTGCTCAAGCAATGTTATATTCCGAGCAGATGTTCTCTACTGTTTCAAGGTACAAGGCGAAAGAGGGATTTAGTTTGATTATTCATCAGTAATTGTCGTTTTCTTTTCTGTTTAATGGGTGAATGAATCGATAGAAAATGCAAATCTAATGCGATTCTGCAATTGTCGACAAGCTTAACGTGAAGTGAAGGTTTTAAATGATTGAATCTGGTCGTGTTGCTGAATCCGTTGGTTTTGTTCTTTGTCATGCATCTTCTTCCGCTCCGCCTTCAATTAAAAGCCTCCTTTTCACTCACCCTAGCTGTCTGCGTATTCTCTATTTCAAATCTTCCTTGCCTTTTCTGTTTCTATTCCCTTCTGCCATACCTTCTTCATTCACTTCGCCAATCACCCAACTCCCTTCATTTACCTTTACAGATCTCCCCCTTCAATTTTACCCCTTGTTTATCCCTTGTTTTTCCTTCTTACCCGAATTAAGTAGGAACTCTTTTAAACTCTTCATATTTTTGAACAAGTAGCTGGGTCATTTGCAGATTTGTAGATATATGTTTCTGGATAATGCACGAAAGCTTGGATGTGTTTATTTATTTCTCATCTAGACTTATGCGAGGAACTATCTTCATTTTTTGACTCTTAGTGATTGGTTGTCGAGGACAAGCCTCCTTCAGACTTCTCTTTATACTATTTCATCTTTATTGATAATGAAATATCGCTATTTCCATCCATTCAGCTTTCGCAATGTTTTGCAAAAATACTGCAGTACTGTACGATGATGTAAGCCATTCCTTTCTTCTCTTTTTTATTTGTGGTTAGATTTCTGGTTAGATCTTTTCATTCCAGCCATGAAACACATAACGTCAGAAATTATCTTGTTGTTATCAATGCAAGAATTACAAAGATGGGTTGTCCCCTTCAACCACACCCATTGTTTCTTGGTTTTGGCTTTAATTTGATTTTTGAATCAAGATTTCATGTTAGAAGACTGACTATTCTCGGTTTTGTTGACCTGTTCCTCAAAAATGTTATTGCCTTCAATCTAAACTTGAGTCGCCTTTGAACGATTGAGAGAACGCAAAATAATAATGCAGATACGGTCATCAAGGTTATCGTCTGAGAACAATGATGATTTGTTGTGTTTGATTCTGGTGTATCTCCCACGAAACATCGGCAATGACGCTAATCTGGGAATCGCAAATAAAATGACCTCGTAGGAGATGATCCCTGACAGCAACCGGCCGAGAACAAAGCTCCAACCACGCTGGGATTGGATTCAAAGCCAGAAGGTATAATGCTCCATTTTGTGAGCGTGTTTCGTGACATTCGTGTGATTATAAAACTCGTGATTATCAATCTTATTACTATTTTTATCCTTTCAGTAACATCCGACTTCTCGCAAAGTTTAACAAACCTAGAATTAAGCACCTTGAAATTTCCATTTTCCGTGCTTCTTTTTATGATTCGAGTTTCAAATTGTTTGTCTACTTCACAGATTCATCTCCTTGTTTATTTAATTATCAAACATTTGAAGTTCTTCGAATCAATCTTGCTGTCATCTCAGCTCTCTAACGTACATGGCCTCGAAAGGCTTGTTTTTGTTCTATTCTCGATAACTTTGCTTTGAAACCCGAAATTCAAAACACGTACACAACATGGCAGACATAGAATAGCTGCAGAGTTTGGTTTGATTATTTCGATTCTTGTTTGACTACGAGTGGTCATTGGTTATTTTGATTGGACTACAGCTTTACTTTTTTATTTCTTCTTTCAACACATTATTTTCTTGAAAAAAATTCGGACATGATGTAACATTATTCTACAGATGTTGGCCCTTTTTAATACTAATTATTGCTAACGAATGGATTGAATTCACACACCATATATTGCATAAATATATTTTTGCAAGACTTGTGTTATTCTGTTGGTGTTGGCTAATGTTGATTTGTATTTATTTGTCGTCTGTATAACTTTCCAGCTTGCACAAGTACTGTCAAGCAGTGAAATGACAACGGAACTGTGAAAATATATAAATTGAAATATATTGCCTATAATATGAAATATACAGATAATATAAAAAAATTGTTTATTTGTACATTGTGCAAACAAAACAACGCTGTTGCTATGCGTCGACGAGAATTTATTAATACGATTGTCAATACAGGGAAAAACTTTCTGTGTTATAAATTGAATATTGAGTTTGGCTGTTTAAATATTTTGCTTTTTGTATGGAACTGAAAGTCTTGAGTGTAAAATTTATGATTGTATAGAATTAAATTTCAAATTTTACAACAGGAAACTGAGATGGTAGGCACTCAACCTTTTGAACGTTGTACGTGTTGACAGAGTTAGTAACAATAATTGTGTTAAATTGATTGCAACCGATTCAAAGTTTATTCCTTCACTGTTTGTTTTGGCTTAGTTTTGAGTGAAACTTCATTTCTTTTCAAGGTTGCTGTTGAATTCATTTTATAAAGCGTCTGTGGCACCATAGTGACGTCATTAGTTACCAGCCTGTCAAGCCAACATCACCACCGTGTACTTAATCAACAATGTCAAGTTGGCCGCAGCCGAAGGAGGAAAATTCTGATGGTCGTTCCTAGCGATGTTTGCAACCAACACCAACATGCCGCACGTGACAAGCCCAGAATTTAATTCTAGAATTATTTATCAAGGCAGCCAACTGCAGACTTCTTCGGCTGGTGGGGGTTTTCATGACTCCGGCATGGGATATTACAACTATCCCGATATGCAAAGTTACCCTGGTGAATTTCAGCCAACTGGTATTGCGATGGCAGTTGGAGGCCCGCGTTCTAACACCATGGATGATCGGAATACGAGCAATTACCCTAATCTGTCGACCTCACGAAATCCCTTTCCTAATTCTGTGACTAACAGTCATGAATATTACGCGCTTGAAAACATGGATAACAGGGAACATTACGCTTGCCAACAGAGTGTTTCCCAGGGTCAACCGAATTCGAGAAGGATCGATCGTTCGCCCCTAGATAGTTCAGCTGCTCGGAAGAATCGTTCTTGGACCGACGCCGTATTCGCCTCGATGGACCGCGAGGCAGAATCGATTCTTGAACTGGTCAACGAAGACGCTATGGAATTAGAAAGAATCGCAGCTACGATCAAACAGGTAAGATTTTATAATCTGTTAATTCACCGCGATATCCATTACTTTCGACCAACGTTAATCGATTTGGTTATTTTAATTACCCAGAGAATTTCGACACATCAAAGCAAAAACAAACAAGTGTGATCGCTGCTCTTCATTGCAACGAACATCATAGTTTGCTGCTGTTTCCACAGTCGCCATTTTGATCACATCCTTATAACCATCTAATTTTGCGAACTTCCATTATTGTTTCCAAACAGTCACTTTGCTGTTAATTTGCTGTCATTGCATGTTTTGCTGTCAATTTGGATAAAATTCTGATCTAGAAAGCATGGCTTTTTATACGACCATCGTGGATGTGACATTTCCAGGGCAGTTTATAATGCAATGTTACATCAAATTTTGCTCTTTACCTCTGAGTCCTTCTTGTTATGATTTCTGGTTCTTCAAAGAAATTTCTAAACAGATCTTTCAAAAGCAGTGCACAGTGGCTACACATTATTTCACCATTGTGTAAATTATTTCATTATTTTTCTCTATACAAAATGACTCCATATTCGAAATATTTTGTGTCCAGAGTGTCCCACTTTGTCAAAATAACTGTTAAAACATGACTCGATTTAATACCAAAACAATTTTTTGGCTGACTTCATTGAAAACAATTTACCATTTATCTTTTGCAACTTTTATCTTATGCAACAATGGTAAGGCTCACTTTTTGTAAGCAGCAAGTGTTACAATCAAAATTTACCGCGCGAATCGTTATTTTTTCAAAAGTCAAGTCTTCAATTGAAGCTCCTGTTTACTAAGAACTCAATAGATTATAGATAGATTCTTTGGTGAATTCTCCAAGTAGCAGTGGTGCTTGTGTTTCACTTGCAAGCCTGATAATACAGCAATTTAAAAAAAATAGAAAAAGGGCTTAGAATATCAAAAATCTATATTCTTAGTTTCGATAACCGATTGCCATAGAAAAGTCAGCCAATCAAGTTTTTATATAACTTAAAGTTAACTTTTGAAATTCACACAGAAGTCAGGTAGCTAAATCTGACATCAACGCCGCTATAAAATTTTGATTTGATCTTTTCTGAAAGCTTGATTTTTGCTTTATTTTCAATGGAAAATTATTCATTTGAACCTTGTTTAGCAAAGCAACATTGCCATACTACTTATTATTAATGTTTGGCTGTTTATGACTTTCTACTTTGAAAAAGGATTGCAAACCTCAAAAGGTGCTTCAATCAACTCTGTTTTTACCTTTATGGCATCTTGCATTTATGGTATTTTACCAAAATGGAGCCGTCTGGGATTGTATCTTTTCATTTTGTCCTCAACTTTGATACTCAATCTTCCTTTCTTCAGAGACCTTCGTCAACGTGATATGATATCACATATCTAGGTTTCCTACAACTTTCGTTTATTGGATCTTCTTGTTTAACATAGCTATCTAACAGTTTTCATTTGAAACCAAGAACCTACATGAACCTTTTTCAAATTTATAATTTTCAACTATGTACTGAAATGGAGAAAATGTAAAGATATATTGAAGTAAAATATGGTTAAACCGAAGAAGGGATAGTGACTTCGATCGAGTTGCTGCCCATGAATTTTTGTGAGAGATGCTTAAGGCTTGATCAAAAGGAAAACAATTGAAAAACTAATTTTACCATCGAGTTGATAACGTTTTTAAAATAAAGTCTTGAGTCAAAGATATGAATTCTTCTGACTTGAAAACTTTTTTTGAAGTAGAAATTTCATCTGTATAGTTTCATCTCACGTTATGTTATTTTGCCTCGCTGCCACTGCTAGCGTATGTTTTTTAAGCCTATTATAGCAACCGCTACATCGCACTTTTGTAGTGTTAAATTAGCATGCCTATGAAAAAAACAGTCCATGTCATCTTTGCAATTTTATGCATTAGCACAGCTGAGTTAAAAAACTGCTTTAAATGCAACAATGGGAAAACAAAAATTTCGCTTGAGATATTGAAAAATGTCCTTGCTTGCTAATTCTTTATTGTGAAAATTGTTAACTGTTTGTGTCAAAATTCACTGTGTTTTGCAATTAATCACAATAAACATTAAGCTAATTGAAATATAGATGTTTTGTGCATATTTTATGTATTGCGTCGATGATGAAAATAACATTCGCACTCTTTCAATTGATATGGATGTTTGAAACGATTAATTCAAATTAGCAAACAATGATGTTGATGATACCAAAAGCTAATTCCAAAATTCTTTTAGCACAGAGAAAAAGATGAAAGGCTCCGTTTTATGTCATTTTAATTATGGCAGTGGTTCTTTCTAGGAGTATAATCATTTTGCAGTCAGACGATTTTAGGCCCAATTAATATTAATATTACGCTTCTGGGATTTTAAAATGCTAAGGTCATCGAAAGTAGACCTGTTTCTTGTGAAAGGTCGTATGACCTCAAACGGGACAGCATCTTTTTTATGTCCTGCGGATTTCCCGCGTTTCTTAGTCATTGGTTTTGAGGATACGAAGTTTTGAGGATATTGAAGAGACCTGTTTCAAGCACAAGGTCACACGACCTCAGTATTTACTCTATGTTTTACTTTGCCCGCGTCAGTCCCGCGTTTTTATTGTCATTTACTTTCAGATTATCGAGAGACAAGAACAGACAGGTTGTTTGAAAGTATAGGGCCTTCATAAGTTTTTAATGTATATGGGTCCTTCATGATCTGTGTTTGTCATGATCGTTATCATAAATGGTTCGTATCTTACTTCTTTCTTGATTATTTTTATCAGATTAATTAGCTATTTCCTTGTAGAACATCTGCATTGCATTTGAAAACCAGTTGTTCATCCAAAATTTGTTGCTCAGGCAATCCTTCGCTGGTTGAACTAAATTTTACGTGGATTGAGTGGCTAAAGTAACCATTTATTCTCGAATTCTGCTTATTTGCTTGTGATTATTTGCGAGGACCTGTCTGAATAATTTGATAAATTTCTTACCGTTGCATTGCCCAAAGGCCCTGTGATTCTGTTGTTTTTCACTACTAATGGTGCAAATCATGATGATAATTTTGCGATATCGTTTTCTTATTATCGGTTGCCTTAAAAAAATTGCTGAATTATATTACTTGTATAAACAGGTAAGCAAGTCAATACACACTTGCTCAGTAGGAAGTTAAAGACCTAATTTGCTGCAATAATTGACTTAAAAAATATATTAATGACAAGATATTATTGAGTCTACTATTATTGAGTTTATAATAATGAGTCTACTGTTTAGGTCCTATTTTCTAAGAAACTCTTCCGAATTTTATGAAAAAGAGTCTTTGAAAATATAAGAAATGAAATTTATGATTTATAGCCAAATATTTCAGCTCGTTTTGTTGTGATTTCCAAATGCCTTTATACTGAACCCATTCAACACCTTATGCTATGAACATTTCGCTGTGTAAATGTGTTTTCAAAGTAAAAACTTTTATTCATTTTTGTTATTGCAAAGCAATGATCGTGAAAAAGGAGTCGACGAATTGGCTGCTTCCTCCCAGTTGCTGAACCTCGTTCCTTGTAGGGGGTGCACCTCGACTTCCCTTTTCTTTGTCAAATTTGCACAGGTCACGCTGACCTCTCGATTTCGAGTCAGACGCAGATGTTCAAGCGTGTGGCCTAAGTATACCCTTATCAATGAGATATATCTCGCTTCCATATGCTGAAAGATAAGGTGACGCATTACCAACAAAAGTTTTCTCTGCTAACCCCCCTGGGTGTAAGTTCTGGGTTGTTGGCAACCCCCAGTCTCAGCTCAATTATGAAAACATCTCCGGTATTCCTTACTTCTATCTTCAAAAGAAACACAACTTTCTGTATTTATTTTGGCTTGCAATGCTTTTATTCTAGGAAATTATCATTATGGAATTATATGATTATCGGTTTATTGCTTTATGATTATTTGTTATGCTAAAAGACAATTATTAATTACTAATGTTGTTCATCATGATTAAAGGCGATGATCTTGTTTCTTTGCTGAAATCATTGCTGTTGCTGAAGTTCATTTTATTTAAATGTTAATCAAACAGCAATTAGAAAAATAATTTAATTGGTTTAAATATTCCCAACTTCATAAGCAGTTCTTCTCACTTTGGAATGAAAAGCTTCTTCGTCTTTCTATATTGCGTAACTCGCGTCATAGAGGATCTTTTGCGAAATATACAATTAATACAGCTGTTATTTATTTTTCCTATCATTGGTCTTGACAAGTGAAATTGGAAAATTTCGAGGAAAAATGTGCTCATTTTGTTTCTGTTTCGAAGTTTTACGAATCATATTGAAATAAAGCATTAAATATAACGATTTTGTACTGTGCAACCTATCAAATTCGTATACCCAAATTTTCATTGTAAAAGTAATTTTGAACAAAAAGCTCTACTTGTCCCGTCGTAAAATTGATCGGTTTAAAAACTGTCATAGAATCCAAAAAACTCATTTTAGTCCCACATTCGATGACTCCCAAAAACCGGGGCAGGGCATGGGACTTCCTATTATTGGACCTTTTCGATTGACAGCAGGATTACCCTTAACAGTCTCGATTTGACAAATTTTTCTTCTGACAGTTGTTCTATTTACCCCTTCCTTGTCTCCTAGTGTTTTAGATGATAAATTCAAAAATACGCTGATATTTGGTTTGGTATATGGAAATGCACTGCCTTATTAATGTTTTCACTTTAGTTGTCTGTCAGCCTTTCACTTATATTCACGAGAGACAATTCAGTATCAGCTGATGAGTCTTTGGGAGCGTTCATGTAAAGTTTGGTAATTTTATGCTTTTCATTTCATCACATTCACTTTCTAAAGTAATTTTCTAAAATATATTTTTATATTGACGTAACCCTGTATCAGCTTGTTTATTCATCTAAACAATTTTGGTATCCATGTTACAAATTTAGGTTTTTCTGCCAAATACTGTCTCAAACTTGGTAATCATGGTCAATTTTACACAATTATTTCTGCATGTGTTTTATTATATTTGCCAAACAATCTTTTCGTGG